CCGAATAGTTGAAACACATTTTTTTGGTAAAGTAATTTCAGAATGAATAACTACGTCTTCGTGCGAATGACTGCGAGCTGCGAATTCTTAAGCATTTTTTGCATTTAACTTGCCAAAATTTAGATGAATATCAAACAAGACTGCAGAAACTAGCATTTTTGAGTTGAATATTGAAAAAAATACTTTACAAATATTTCAAATAATTCCGTTTATTGAAGCTGTTAACATATCAAAGATTTATTTATTTATTTATTCTAAATGGCAAGCTTTATGATATTTATCCATAGCCTATAAACTTTGACTTCAGCTTCCCCCAAGGGTGGGGGGGATACATATATATCTGCTGATAAATAGCAGTTCATTAGCTGTCTTCTTCCTTCCCAGTATCTCTGGCTTTCCGTCGTTATCTTTTGGGCTGCACACCAAATCAGGTGGGTCTTCTCCATTTCCTCCTGTAGGTTACATAGGGGACATGTGGGTTGAGTGTATACTCCCAACCTGTGAAGGTGTTTTGCCAAGCAATCTTGTCCGGTGCGTAGTCTAAACTCAGCAACGGCTTCGATTCTTGGCCAGTCGGGTATGTCGGAGAGTGCCACTGTTCACTGTTTGTCCTTTGTTCGAGCTTTAATTTCGTTGCACCTTGAGGTATGGAGTTCTCTCCTGATTAAGGACTTCATTGTGTGGAAAGACATCGGGCGGTCCATGCATTGCCAAATCGTTGTCCTCTTCTTAGCAAGTGTGTCAGCAAGCTCATTTGCTTTACTGCTACAGTGAACAGGACTCCATTGTTGGACCACTGTTTGGTTTTTCTCTCTCAGCAGCTAATAGAGTTTTTTACATTTCTTTATCTCAGCTGTTTTGGGTGGCTCTCTGTTTCCAATTGAGTTTATTGCTGACTGTGAGTCCGAAAGTATCACCGCTTTGGTGAATTTCGTATCCAGGCAACATAATTGGCATAGTGCTATCCTAAAGGTCTCTATTTCGCCTTCAAAAGCGGATCTATTTTGTCTCGCTGCTGAGTAAAAAGAGAAGAGTTCAGAATAAACACCCTTCACCAACTTTTGCTTGGTTTTCTATGTATGACCCCTCAGTGAAGTCTTGGAGCCATCGATCTCCAGAATGTTGGCATTGATTGTCTCAAGGACCAGTGAGCACATTTGTTCTGGAGGAATGTTTGATTTCCTGAAGAAGTCAAGCAGTTGGGTGCAACACACTACATCAGTGTCTGCTAATGGGTTCATAAGGAAAGAGAGGCATTTAGTTTGTGATCGATTTGTTATTCTTTTTCAGTTCTATGGCTTTCTGTATTAGACCAAATTGCGTTTTTAGATGTCTTGGTCAGCATGGTTTTCTTGGCTTTTGGTCCCATTCTAATTAAAAATTCTGGATAAATACCATCTTTGCCAGGAGACTTTTTGCACTTTAGCTGTTTTACCGTAGCATAAGTTTACAAGGTATGAATGGTTCAGTAAGTACATTGTTTGGTGTTGTCGTGTCTTTCTTAATTTCGCCCAACTGTTTTACTTGTATCTTTCAGTCTCTTGAAGATTTTCTGGCAAAAGGGTTTTTCTTTTGCCTGTGGGAATGGAACATTGCAAAGCAGTTAGCTATTTCGGTGCCAGTGGTAAGCCGTTTGTTTTTTGAAATGTTTTCGTTCTTTCTTGGGTCTTTCTCTGTTGTTTTGGACGTTACCCAGAAATTTGAAAGCGCGTTGGTTATCACTTTGATAGTTGATATTTGACTCGAAGTTGTCAAAGGAAATCCGTTTAGCTTGTAAGATGGCTTGCCTTAGGACAGCTGATTGTCGTCTCCAGGCTTGTACGTCTTCCGTTTCTCCAGTCTGATCAGCAGTGTTGCCAAGGGCGACCGTTCTTCCAGTCAGATCAGCAGTGTTGCGAAGGGCGTTTGTTCTTCCAGTCTGATCAGCAGTGTTGCGAAGGGCGTCGCGTTTCTTTTCAGTTCCTCAAGGTGTCTAGAACGTCCCGCTTTCTTTTCAGTTCCTCAAGGTGTTTAGACTATCTCGATAGTGTTTAGTCTTGCCTCAATAGTTTTCTTTTCAATCCTGATCATAATATTCGTGATATTAGTGCAAAGTTTGTCAGAGTGATATCAGTGCAAAGTTTATCAGGATGTTGGTTGAAGTCGTTATCATTGCAAAGTTTGTCAGGATTTTGGTTGAAGTTTAGAGACTTGTGTGAAGTTCATTGTCTAAAAGGTTAGTGAATCTTGTCGCTGCAAAGTTTGTCAGGATGTTGGTTGAAGTTGAGGGGAAGAATGAAGTTCATTCTCTAAAAGGTTAGTGAATCTAGACCCGTCAGCCTTCTTGAAGTTCCATGATAGCTTAGTTGCCACTTTCGTTGGCATTCTTTTACGGCCGATGGTAATACTAGGAATGACTGGTTTGTGACCAGAACCAGGATCGTCAATTCTTTTGCGGTGACTGGTTTGTGACCAGAACCAGGATCGTCAATTATTTCACGGACTGGTTTGTGACCAGAACCAGGATCGTCAATTATTTTGCCTGTTGGCACTTTCCTTGTCATGCTTTTGCTGCCGATGGTAGCTAGCAATGACTGGTTTGTGACCAGAACCAGGATCAATTATCAAGAGTAAATCAGGAGTTGTTCTGGATCCATTGCAATGCAAACATGTAGCCGGATCCTCATTGCTATAAATAAGTTCCAGAATGTTGCTGTTTAGCCTCATTGCTGTAAATAAGTTCCAGAGGGTTGCTGTTTAGCTATTGCTGTAAATAAGTTCCAGAGGGTTGCTGTTTAGCATGATTTCCAGCTATGTTTGTATCCTTGTAGCTCCATCTGGTGGAGTGGGCGTTGAAGTCTTCTAGTACCATATTTTTGTGTGAAATATTCAGAATGTCAAAGTTTGGACAATTCTGGGGTGGATTATAGACTGCATATATCTTGAAGTGGTTTTGACATTTCCAAACATTTAATCTGATTATTTCACATTTGTCATGTGTCGAGCCCATACCCTTGATTAGATCGTAGAGTGAGGCGAGGCCTTCTTTTACTCCAGTTAGAATTCCACTTGCAACTTGCCGGTATTTAGGTAGATTGTACAGGGTGTAACCTGGGAATTGGTAGTATTTCAGTTTGTCATCCGAAATGTTAGCTTCCATAAATGTGGAAATGCCTACATCCTAGGTTTGTAGGATTTTCTCTACTTGGATTTATTTGTCCGGAGACATTCCTAAAGCATTCCACTGGAGGATCTGAAGACGTTGTGATTCGCCCCTTCCACTGGAGGATCTGAAGACGTTGTGATTCACCCTGACAAGTCCACTGGAGGATCTGAAGACGTTGTGATTCGCCCTGACGCGGGCGGTTGTGATTTGCCCTGACGAGGGCGATTTTTCTTATAGCATTGTCGCCCTGACGAGGGCGATTTTTCTTATAGCCTTTTTGAAGCATAATAAATCGAAGTCAAATCAAATGCCGAGTGATAGACAAATTGAAGTCAAAAACGAATGCCGAGTGATAGACTTTTTTTGCTGTAAGAAAATACGTTGTCCAGGGTGCACCACATGGAGGTAAGTCTATCGCGCACCCCTCACACCTGATCATAATATTCGTGGTATCAGTGCAAAGTTTGTCAGAGTGATATCAGTGCAAAGTTTATCAGGATGTTGGTTGAAGTCGATATCATTGCAAAGTTTGTCAGGATGTTGGTTGAAGTTGGGTCAGTGCAAAGTTTGTCAGAATGTTGGTTGAAGTTGAGGGACTTGTGTGAAGTTCATTTTTTAAAAGGTTTGAGAATCTAGGCCAGGCAGCCTTCTTGAAGTTCCACGATAGCTTTGTTGACACGTTCCTTGTCATGCTTTTGCCACCGATGGTAAAAATAGCAATGACTGGTTTGTGACCACAACCAGGATCGTCAATTATTTTGCAGTTTGTGACCACAACCAGGATCGTCAATTATTTTGCAGTTTGTATGCTCGCTGATGTCGCTTGAAGCCAGGAGTAAGTCAGGAAATGTTCGGGTTCCATTGACGTGCAAATGTGTAGCTGGATCCACTTTGCTGTAGATAAGTTCCAGATTGTTGCTGTTTACCATGCCTTCGTTTTCTTTTCCAGCTATGTTTGTATCCTTATAGCCCTATCTGGTGGAATGAGTTTTGATGTCTACTTATACTATAGTTTTGTGTGAGATGTTGATAAGTTCAAAATTGGGACTATACTGGGGTGGATTAAAGACTGCATAAATGTTGAAGTGGTTTTGCCATTTCCAAACATTTAATCTGATTATTTCGTATATGTCCTGTGTCGAGCCCATAGTATTGATTAGATTGTAATGTGAGCTAAGGGCTTATTTTTCTCCAGCCAGAATTCCACTTGCAACTTGCCGGTATTTAGGTAGATTGTACAGGGGTTAACAACTTGCCGGTATTTAGGTAGATTGTACAGAGTGTAACCTTTTAATCGGAAATATTTCAGTTTGTCATCCAAAAGGTTTGCTTCAAAAATTGAGAAAATGTCTACATCATAGGTTTGTAGGATTTTTCGACATTCCTCCAGCATTCCACTGGAGGATCTGAAGACATTGGTGTAGGATTTTCTTGACTTGGATCTTTTTGTCCTGTGACATCCCTCCAGCATTCCACTGGAGGATCTGAAGACGATGTTATTGGCAGCATTCCACTGGAGGATCTGAAGACATTGTGATTCGCCCCATTCCACTGGAGGATCTGAAGACGTTGTGATTCGCCTTGATGAAGTCGATTTCTCCTATAGCCTTGGTTCAAGCTCATCATAATAAATCGAAGTCAAATCAGAGTGATAGCCTTTTTTGCAGTACGAAAATACGTTCTCCAGGGTGCACCAGGTGGAGGTAAGTCTATCGCGCATCCCAGATTTGCTAGATGCTATATCTTCAAGAATAGTCGCAACACCAATTTGGAAAAGTGACTCCTTCTTATATGTTCCAATTTTGTGGATTTTTCATCGTTATTGTACAATTCTATAAATTTGCGTTAATTATTTTCTCTGTGCCTGTCGATATTAAATTACCAATCATCTCATTGATTACACTAACATTACATTAGATGACGTCACAAAATAAGATCAACCTATTCATGGTGATTCAAGGGGCTCATGCATAGTTACTTCTGCCTCAAAGTGCGGGTTCAAGTCCGCCAAAAAAGTCTAGAAGTATTCCAAACCTAGTGATGAAAACACCGCAGTAAAGTATTTTAGCATTTAATAAATACTTTTAATGGTAATTACCTGCAATAATTTCAATCTTTAATTAAAATTGGAAGACGGAAGGCACATTTAATGGCAAACTGCTAAAATATGCAAAAAATGAAATATATCACATCGTGTGTTGTTTTACTTATCAATTACGTGTCAATTTGATGAACATGTTTTGTGAATAACGCGTGGTTACTTTGTCGTTATTCTTAGTATTCTAGAAATTTGATGATGGATTAGTCATTTTAAAGTGAAATTGAATGTTAATAATAAAATGCAAACAGTGGACATTCACTTATTTGGTCTCTCGAAAGGTATATATGCAATCAAAAATTACATTCGCACCCCACATTTATTTCATTTATTA